TCCACTTCAGTGAGTAGAGTCTCCACTTCAGTGAGTAGAGTCTCCACTTCAGTGAGTAGAGTCTCCACTTCAGTGAGTAGAGTTTCCACTTCAGTGAGTAGAGTCTCCACTTCAGTGAGTAGAGTTTCCACTTCAGTGAGTAGCGTTTCCAATTCGCATTCTGTGAAGATTTTCTTTTTTCCCGTCTTACTCATTCTCATTCTGCATATTTAAATGGGGGCGTGGACAGGGAGGGGTCAGGTACTCCAACGTGTGCTCAATTCCACGTTGATTGGGATGTACAAAGGAAATTTACTTGGATTCATGTGTACTCACAGATTCATACATCTGGATGTTTTTGTGCGTACAGCGTTTTTTGGATTTAAGCGTACGCCATGTTTCAGTAGGAAATCCACTCAAGTCTTTGTACATGAGGCCCCAGGTCTGTGTCATTCTCGTGAATGAAATATCTCACAAATTCCTTGAGGGAATTTCCTCAACTTTGGCACAAACGTGCACTCGGACTCAACAATGAACTGACTAGATGTTGGTGGTCATATGTCAAAAGTCAAGGTCACTGTGGCCTTGCGCCTCTGTTATTCTCATGAATGTGATATCTGAAATGAAAAAGGCCATAAGGGAATTTATTCAAATTTGGCACAGACATCCATTTGGACTCCGTGATGAACTGGTTAGAATTTGGCGGTCAAAGCTCACTGTTTTTGGCCATAACTCAGGCTGACTAAGACAGAACTCTAACTCTAGTTGTCTCTGCTCTAACAGTGTCCCTCTGTCTGTCTCTGTTCCAGCAGATCTTTTCCTCCCATAGAAACAAACCATCACCCACATCGGCACCATTCACACGATGGCCTCCTCCCCACTCCGCCGTTACTCCCCCCACCCATGGGAGCCCACTTTCACCCGTATCGATGGACGCCTCCTCACCCTGACAGTCAGTGTAGGAGACCCCCTGGCTCAGAGGAGAGGAGGTCCAGATATGCTCCCTCAGAGCCGAAGAGGAGGTCCAGATATTCTCCCTCAGAGCCGGAGAGGAGGTCCAGATATTCTCCCTCAGAGCCGGAGAGGAGGTCCAGATACGCTCCCTCAGAGCCGGAGAGGAGGTCCAGATACGCTCCCTCAGAGCCGGAGAGGAGGTCCAGATACGCTCCCTCAGAGCCGGAGAGGAGGTCATCGTCCTGCCTGCAGGAGGACAGATGGAGAGCTCCTCCTCCTCTCCCTCGTTACTCCGCATGCTGGACCAACGAGTCCAACGGCTACGACCGGCGTGAGGAGGAGCGGGCGGGTCCTAACATGAGACATCACTTCACACATACACACAGAGTGAAAACATATAACGACTATTAGTGTCGTCTCCACAGGACACTGAGACATGCTGCTCATCAACAGGGGGACGATTTAGGGCTACAGACAGACAGACAGACAGACAGACGTCTTGTGTGTGCTGCTCAGATCAGTCTACATGTTTACTGAAATTACAAAATGTCTTCTCGTCTACAGGTGAGGGTCACACGCCCCTGTGTGGTGGTGGTTATCAGAGATGTCAGAGTTGATGACACATTTTAATGTATGGGCTAAAATAAAGCTGATGAAACTTAGATCCTGTCTTTACTGAGCTTTACTGTATGAAATAAAATGATGTTTGATGCATGTGATCTTTTCTGACCACAGACTGAAGGAAATAATTGTTGTAGACACCGTGACATCGCACACTGGTTTGTTTACTCCCATTTTGAAGCCTCCCATTCGGCATTTTGGTTGTCGCCATCTTAGATTTTTGGAGCCAGGAGTGAACATATTTGAATGAGAGGGTGGAGCTATGACCTTGTGTCAGCTTCATTCTCATAGATGCAATATCTTAGTCCCTCAAATTTGGCACAAGCGTCCTCTTAGACTCAATAATAAACTGATTAGATTTTGATGGTCAAATTTAAATGTTTTGGGAAGGGGTAAACAAATTTAAATGTTTTGGGAAGGGGTATACAAATTTCAATGTTTTGGTAAGGGGTATATAAATTTAAATGTTTTGGGAAGGGGTATACAAATTTAAATGTTTTGGGAAGGGGTATACAAATTTAAATGTTTTGGGAAGGGGTATACAAATTTAAATGTTTTGGTAAGGGGTATATAAATTTAAATGTTTTGGGGAGGGGTATACAAATTTAAATGTTTTAGGGAGAGGTACACAAATTTAAATGTTTTGGGAAGGGGTATATAAATTTAAATGTTTTAGGGAGAGGTATACAAATTTCAATGTTTTGGTAAGGGGTATACAAATTTCAATGTTTTGGTAAGGGGTATATAAATTTAAATGTTTTGGGGAGAGGTACACAAATGTCAATGTTTTGGTAAGGGGTATATAAATTTAAATGTTTTGGGGAGGGGTATACAAATTTAAATGTTTTAGGGAGAGGTACACAAATTTAAATGTTTTGGGAAGGGGTATATAAATTTAAATGTTTTAGGGAGAGGTATACAAATTTCAATGTTTTGGTAAGGGGTATACAAATTTCAATGTTTTGGTAAGGGGTATATAAATTTAAATGTTTTGGGGAGAGGTACACAAATGTCAATGTTTTGGTAAGGGGTATATAAATTTAAATGTTTTGGGGAGGGGTATACAAATTTAAATGTTTTAGGGAGAGGTACACAAATTTAAATGTTTTGGGAAGGGGTATATAAATTTAAATGTTTTAGGGAGAGGTATACAAATTTCAATGTTTTGGTAAGGGGTATACAAATTTCAATGTTTTGGTAAGGGGTATATAAATTTAAATGTTTTGGGGAGAGGTACACAAATGTCAATGTTTTGGTAAGGGGTATATAAATTTAAATGTTTTGGGGAGGGGTATACAAATTTAAATGTTTTAGGGAGAGGTACACAAATTTAAATGTTTTGGGAAGGGGTATATAAATTTAAATGTTTTAGGGAGAGGTATACAAATTTCAATGTTTTGGTAAGGGGTATACAAATTTCAATGTTTTGGTAAGGGGTATATAAATTTAAATGTTTTGGGGAGAGGTACACAAATGTCAATGTTTTGGTAAGGGGTATATAAATTTAAATGTTTTGGGGAGGGGTATACAAATTTAAATGTTTTAGGGAGAGGTACACAAATTTAAATGTTTTGGGAAGGGGTATATAAATTTAAATGTTTTAGGGAGAGGTATACAAATTTCAATGTTTTGGTAAGGGGTATACAAATTTCAATGTTTTGGTAAGGGGTATATAAATTTAAATGTTTTGGGGAGAGGTACACAAATGTCAATGTTTTGGTAAGGGGTATATAAATTTAAATGTTTTGGGGAGGGGTATACAAATTTAAATGTTTTAGGGAGAGGTACACAAATTTAAATGTTTTGGGAAGGGGTATATAAATTTAAATGTTTTAGGGAGAGGTATACAAATTTCAATGTTTTGGTAAGGGGTATACAAATTTCAATGTTTTGGTAAGGGGTATATAAATTTAAATGTTTTGGGGAGAGGTACACAAATGTCAATGTTTTGGTAAGGGGTATATAAATTTAAATGTTTTGGGGAGGGGTATACAAATTTAAATGTTTTAGGGAGAGGTACACAAATTTAAATGTTTTGGGAAGGGGTATATAAATTTAAATGTTTTAGGGAGAGGTATACAAATTTCAATGTTTTGGTAAGGGGTATACAAATTTCAATGTTTTGGTAAGGGGTATATAAATTTAAATGTTTTGGGGAGAGGTACACAAATGTCAATGTTTTGGTAAGGGGTATATAAATTTAAATGTTTTGGGGAGGGGTATACAAATTTAAATGTTTTAGGGAGAGGTACACAAATTTAAATGTTTTGGGAAGGGGTATATAAATTTAAATGTTTTAGGGAGAGGTATACAAATTTCAATGTTTTGGTAAGGGGTATACAAATTTCAATGTTTTGGTAAGGGGTATATAAATTTAAATGTTTTGGGGAGAGGTACACAAATGTCAATGTTTTGGTAAGGGGTATATAAATTTAAATGTTTTGGGGAGGGGTATACAAATTTAAATGTTTTAGGGAGAGGTACACAAATTTAAATGTTTTGGGAAGGGGTATATAAATTTAAATGTTTTAGGGAGAGGTATACAAATTTCAATGTTTTGGTAAGGGGTATACAAATTTCAATGTTTTGGTAAGGGGTATATAAATTTAAATGTTTTGGGGAGAGGTACACAAATGTCAATGTTTTGGTAAGGGGTATATAAATTTAAATGTTTTGGGGAGAGGTATACAAATTTAAATGTTTTAGGGAGAGGTACACAAATTTAAATGTTTTGGGAAGGGGTATATAAATTTCAATGTTTTAGGGAGGGGTATGTAATGTATGTAAGGCAAGGGAGGGGCGTATAAAATGTTTAGGGAAGGGGTTTTAAAATGTAAATGTTTAGGAGATGGCATACAAGAGTAAGTGTTTAATACAAATATAAATATTTCTATTTTACATTTATTTTACCTCCAACTTTTAAGTCAAACATGGGGACTTGCAACCAGGTTTCCTTTCAAAATGTTGCCCTTTTTTGTTCTATAATTTTTTTTTGATGATTTAATAAATTGTGCTGTAAAATAAACACAAATAACAACCATTTAATAACTGTAAAGAAACATTAGTCCCTCTGCAGTGCATGTCCCCCACAGTAAGTAACGAACAGTCCCTAACATGTCCCTCATAATCATGTCCCTCATAATCATGTCCCTCATAAAGACCTGTAAATGTTCTGATTTATCATTTCTCCATATTTGTAGCGGACTTTAAGGACAGAAGGTGAAACCTGAGTGTTTTTTTTTAACAGGTATAAAACTTTATAACGTGACCAACCCTCACGATGCAGCTGGTGTTCCTCTGCTGCGCATGCGCCGGGGCTGTCACGACTCGGACGCTGCTGCGGTGCTGCAGGTGGAAACATGGCGATGAAGGCTCTCAGAGGGATGGTGAACGGGGCCATGAGTGAGCTGTCCTCGGCTGTCAGCGGGACCAAACCGACGGCCGCCGCCCCGCGGTCCTCCGCCGCCTCCCGGGAGCATGTGATGGCCGTGAGCCGGGATTACATCTCGCAGCCCCGCCTCAGTGAGTGTGAACGCGTCGGTCCTTCAGCTGCTGCGACTCTGGTTGATTCAGGACTCCACAGGTCTGCGTCATTTTGAAGACACGTGAAAGTCCCGTCCTGAGGATGAGTCAGCGATCTGAGAGCATCAGACACCTGACACTTCATCTGTCAGACATCAGGAGTCTGAGGGCCCCTGGGGTCTGGGGGGCCCCCCCCCCCCCCCCACACACACACACACACACACACACACTCTCTTTGTCGTTCCTCATCCTGTTTGTGTTGTCGTGTTGCATCTCTTTGTCTCTACACATCTCTCTGAAGTCGTTTTGTGTCTCTTTGAAGTCGTTTTGTGCCTTTTTGTAGTTGTTTTGTGTGTCTTTGTGGTTGTGTATCTCTTTTTGTAGTCCTCGTGAGACTGTCTGTGTCTCTGCAACTGTTCTGCATCTCTTTGTTGTCGTTCTGTATCTTTTTGTAGCCTTGTGGTCATTATGTGTGTCTTTGTAGTTGTTTATCCCATTTGTAGTAGTCTCTTTGTCGTAGTGAATCATCTCTCTGGGGTTTTGTGTGTCTTTGTGGTCGTTCTGTCTCTGTGGTTGTTTTTCTCTTTTCATAGTCATCCTGAGTCATTTTGTGTCTCTTTGCAGCTGTTTTGCATCTTTGTAGTCGTCTTTTTCACTTGTGGTCGACCTGTGTCTCCCTGTAGTCGTCTTGTGTCTCTTTGTAGCTGTTTAATGTTTAATTGTGGTCATTGTGAGTCTCTTCCTGGTCAGTACGTATCTCTTCCTGGTCGGTACGCGTCTCTTCCTGGTCGGTACGCGTCTCTTCCTGGTCGGTACGCGTCTCTTCCTGGTCGGTATGCGTCTCTTCCTGGTCGGTATGCGTCTCTTCCTGGTCAGGTGACATTTCAAGTGACATTTTGCAGCTTCTCAGACGTGAATCTGTCTCTCTGTGTCTCTTTGGCTCAGACAGGTGAAGACGTGAAGGTGTAAACTCTGGAGCTTCAGAATATTGTGACGTCATTTTTGGACTCAAAAAAATGAAGTGGTTATAAAAACAATCCACAGTTGTATCCCGACGCTGAGCTGCAGCTCGTGCTGTTGATTCTCTGTGTTGTATAAAAGTGTGTGGGCCTCAGCTGGATAAAAATACCAACACTGTGCAGCTGCTTCGTCCTTCTGTCGGACGCACTGTGATGAGGAGCACCGTAAATACAGTTTAACATGAGACTGAGATGAAGATCAGACAGGCCGGTCATCACAGAGTTAAATGTTCATCACAGAGGGGACGTCTTTAAATGTCTTCAAATGTCTTCAAATGTCCAAAACCTGAAAATAATCAGTTCACTGTAATTTTAAACAGAAAAATCCTCACTGCAGATTCTCCCTGTGTTCCTGTGCTCCTGGTTCATCTCTCTTACTTTACTTTTTATTTAATTTATTTTCCTTCTGAAAATGAGCCGACTCTTTTCAGTTTGTGCCAGTTTGTTGTTGTTGTTGTTTCTTGTCTTCTGCTGCGTCTCAGACTGCAGTCAGCTGAAATGAGCTCAAACATGAATCTTGGTTTAATACCTGGGAATGACGTCCAAATGCTT